GGGCGAGCGACGGTCCCGGGGACGCGCTAAGGATCCCGGGCTCGCGTGCTTTCGCGGTGGGCGGGGACTGGGCTCGAGGGGCAGGGGGCTCGAGCTCTGAGTCTGGTTCATCTCCCAAGCCCTGGAGAAGAGCTAAGCATCTGAGTTGACTTGTGTCCGGGTTTCCAGGAGAAGCTCTTACTGGTCTGTCCTTCCGCCTTTCCCTGCCAGTGCCTGGTCCTGCAACAGTTCGTTCCGTGCCAGCGGACAAGGGGGTGAACAGAGGCCAGGGGGTATTGAGGGTGCGGGATCGGGCTGCGGGGTCGCAGGTCCTGGTCTTGTTGCTTACCCCTGTCACTGGCTTCCTGAGGATAATGCAGTATGAGGGGGAAGGATATGAAGAGGAAAGGCAAGCAACACCCAGCCACTCTCAGCTTTGCCCCATGGTGTTTCCCTCATGCTTTTAGCATTCCCCTGCTCTGCCTTAGCAGGGCCAGTCCTCCTCTTATGTGGGCGTCGGCAGTAACACCCACACATTGGGCCAGCCATGCAATCTACCTGTGAGGTGTTTTCTCTAAGCATATACAGTGAGGGGCCGCCCTCTCTCTCTCTGCAGATTACACAGACAAACCCTTGGAGAAGCCTCTGAAGCTGGTTCTCAAGGTTGGAGGAAGTGAAGTGACTGAACTCTCTGGATCTGGCCACGACTCCAGTTACTACGATGATAGATCAGACCATGAGCGAGAGAGACACAAAGAAAAGAAGAAGAAAAAGAAGAAAAAGTCAGAGAAGGAGAAATATCTGGATGATGAAGAAAGAAGGAAGCGAAAGGTAAAGGAAGGTGGTGGCCAGCATGTGCTGGCCCCAAAACCCCTGGAGGGAAGGCATACAGAATGAGTGCTGCAGGGCTAGGAAAGGAGGGGGTATTTTGTTTGTAGGAAGACAGACCATAAAAGTAGTTTCTTCAGTTCTGGCTCTTTGAGCATTGCTTCTCCTCTGACTTTTGGGGAAGGTCTTTGCAAGAGCGGGAGTCTAGAGTGAGAAGAGTCTCTGGAAAGAGGGTGTTTCTCTCTTAGCTTTGTGTTTCTCCTTAGAATCAGGAGGTTTGCTTAAAGCTGTTTGCATTGCTCTCACTGCCTTGAATTTGCCTCCCAGGAAGAGAAGAAGCGGAAACGGGAAAAGGAACACTGTGACACAGAGGGAGAGGCTGATGACTTTGATCCTGGGAAGAAGGTAGAGGTGGAGCCACCCCCCGATCGGCCAATTCGAGCATGCCGGACACAGCCAGGCAAGTGATGGCATTTTCAAAAACTTCCTTGGAGTGTTGGAGCTTGTCACTAACGCAGTGGTTGGTACCATGTCCTGCAGCTTTTGGGGAGAAGCACAGAAGGAAGGGACAGTGTTTTCTCTTTCAAGGTCTCACATGAAATATAGCTGGATCTGAGGTTCTTGCCATCATCTTTGAACTTCTAGAGCAGGGTTTGACCAACTGTTGCTCCTGGCCTTTTTCTTTAAGCACGTGAGCTAAGGAGCTCATTATAGATGGGAGGCAGCTAGTGTTTCAATCAGTTATTCAGGACTTCAGAAACACTGGGAGCTGTGCTGGCTCCACCAAAGGAGAGCTTCTAGAACCCTCTGATCTGTGTGTGGTCACTTCCCTCAGAGGCTTCCAGATGGTCAGGTTGTTTGCCCTTTAGGGGTTTCTTTTCTTGCTGGGGGAGGTAGGAGGTATTGTATTGCAGTCGTGGTGGGGTGCTGTTTTCTGGCAGCACCCTCCCCTGTGCGAGTCATTGCCATGGTGAACAAGTAGGACTCGGGGCTGCTGAATGTGTTGAGAAGATCAAGTGCAAACAACATTTCATTAAATGAATGTGTTAGTACAAAGTTAGTACAGTCACTGGTAATTGTTGGCTTAATCTGACTTAACTCTTTGAGGTCATATACTGGTGCTTCCCCCTCAGTATGCCTGAAGAGCTAATGATCACATGATACTTTCTTAGTGATTCTGAAGAGCATTACTATTGGGTACCTGCCGGTCTTCACTTCTGTTGTGCCTTGGTTCCTCAATGGAGAATGGCATTTAGAAATCAAAGTCTGGGTGTACTAGGTGTAGCCCTCAGTGAACAGAGCTAGGAAAGGCCATTATATACATACAACTTCTAGAGGGAAGCTAGACTGACATCTGTGTTTACATTCACCAATAACTATGTTTTCACATGTGTGCCCGGAGATGTAGCTTGTAATAACTCCTGTGCAGTGTGTGTTCCTATCCCTGTTTCACGCATGAAGAACAGACATATCCAGAAGTGTAGGACTCAAGTGAAATGATGGTGAATCCAGGATCAGCTTCTATATCCAAAGCCTTTGTTCTCCCTTTCATACCTTGTCTGTAATATACTAGGCCCATTTGATGATAGGGGCTGGAAATAGATTGATTGCTGATAGCTACATGTTCTTGTTTTAAGGGATATTGGCACTCAGGTTTAGGGACTGATGTGTGAGTGTCCTTTCCACCCAGCTGAGCTTTGTAGGGGGCCAAGGCTGGGTCTGGTTTATCTTTGTATCCAGTTCTTATTTGAACCTTCTTATTAAAATGCTGTGGAACTCAAACAAATAAGTACATACTGTGAAATTGGAGCTCTCCAGTGAAATGATATCAGAATCTTTTTGTTCAATTTATTTTTTTACTTTTTAAATCATCAGCTGAAAATGAGAGCACGCCTATTCAACAACTACTAGAGCATTTCCTCCGCCAGCTCCAGAGGTAAAGAGTATTTCTAAAGAGCTCGTGCTTGGGGACATTTGGGTGTCCTTTTCTCTGAGGCATTCTTGCCCCCACCACCATCATGTGTGAAGTAGATACTTGGCTTTTACTGGTAACACCTAGTCTGACTGGGTGGCAAGCATGTGGGCAAGCACCATTGGAGAGCAGAGTGGGGAGGGCTCTGTCACTGTGGGGGATTGTCAAAGACGCTGTGATGTAAATGTCATGGCTATAGCCAGGATGCTGGTTTTGGAATTTTTAGTGTATCCAAAAATACCTACCACAATTTTAGAGAGCATAACTTTTATTTCTTATTTTTAAGAAAGAAACTTTGGTCAATTATATTAATATTTTTGTTGTGAAGGATTTTGTATCATTCAGAAATTTAGGTTTTAGGGGTTTCCAGTTCAAATAAAGATGTTTTTGTTTTCAGAAAAGATCCTCATGGATTTTTTGCTTTTCCTGTCACGGATGCAATTGCTCCTGGATATTCAATGATAATAAAACATCCAATGGATTTTGGCACAATGAAAGACAAAATCATGGCTAATGAATATAAGTCAGTCACGGAATTTAAGGTAAATTAATTTCAGTTCCTAAAATGATTGTTTGGAAGCTCTGCATTAATTTATGCTCTGTAAATGCTTCATTCATCTTAGGTCATTTCCAGTTGCAAGCTTTCACAGGTGTTTCTGTATTTGGGTTGATGTTTCACAAACATCAAGGAAATGGGTTGGTTGTAATTTTCTCTGTATTTTGGTCTAGAACAGTGATTTTCAACTTTTTCGTCTCAGGGCACATAAACTAATTACTAAAATCCTGTAGCACACCAAAAAATATATTTTTGGCTGATCTGACCAAAAAAATAGGTATAATTTAAATTTATTCACACCAGACAGCTATTATTGTTTTGGCTGTTGTAATTTTTTTTATTTGACAGTCTATGGGCAAAGAGGTCAGTGGCCCTGCCTGGTGTGGCGTGGTTAAAACTGCTACAGGAAGTCATGTCAGGAGACAACAGAACCATTGACCACACATGATGCAGTGTGATCATGTGCTAATCATTTCCTGAACGTTATGAGCTATGGCTCTTAGATTTAAATGTGTACAATATTGTCATAGGTGTATGTCTGTGAAATCACTACAGTGTTTTTTCCAACATATGGCCTATTTGCTAAAATTTGTTTAAAATGACAGTGAATTAATAACAAAAAATAACCTATTAACTTAATTATAAGCAAATCTTGGTTAAGAGCATTTTAAGATTAACAGAATATTCATATTCACAAGTGACACATGGATTGGAATTTTGTTCGTTAAATCTGAAGTCTGTTAAATCAAGGTCCTCAAAATTGAGGGTTTACTGTATTATGCTCAAAAAAGTACAGACTTTGTTTCATGCAAGTAAAGATCAGTGAACAATTATGAAAATTTCTCTGAAAGGGTTTTAAAGTTAATTTTTTAATTAAAGAAATTTAATTGTTTTTTACCTAATTTCCAGCTCTTCATTTTTGCCTCTAAACTCTTTGCTGTTGTCTGGATGGTATTTCAAACTTGATGAATTTTTCTTTTCTTTTTTCAGGCAGATTTCAAACTGATGTGTGATAATGCAATGACATACAACAGACCTGATACTGTGTACTACAAGTTAGCTAAGAAGATTCTTCACGCAGGCTTTAAGATGATGAGCAAAGTAAGAAAGCCACTAACATCGAGGAGCTACAGAAACGAGAGTTCTCCTCCTCTACGTTGTTTATGCCTAAACAGAAACTCACTCACAGTGAATGACATGCTTCCATCTTTCCGTCACTGGCCACGGCATGGACCCCTCTGCTTTAGGGTAGACACCGCAGGCTGCCCTCTCCATGTCCCTCTCCTCCAGGCACTCCTCTTTCTGTTCCTGCTCCTGCCCTAGCTGTAACATCTCCTTTAGGGTGGGTGGACAGTTCCAATCTGTTGATCTCAACTCTAGGTGTCTGTCTCACTGGTTTGCCAGCAGCCTTTGGGTTTGTTTTGTATGGTTGCCTCAGTGAATCCAGCCAGGAGATCCTTATCATCCTGAATGGTTTGCCAGGTCTGTCCTGTGAGCCATGTTGCATGTGTCGTGTGTCTAGGACCAGTGCCTTGTGCCCGATGAGCCTGTAGGTGAGGTGCAGCCCTGTGCCCTCTGGCCTGTTCCCTTCTGTCAGCTCTGAGCACTTGCCAGCTAATTGCACCCTTTGGTGCTGACCCCATGAGCACCTCCCACTGCACTGCATGGAAGGTTAGCTGATAGGCCAGGTGAGGCTGTGGCCATCCCCATCCCATCCCATCATCATGGCGCCTTGGCTGTGAGGGAGAGGTAAAGTCGTGCTGCTCTGTCCTTTCTGATTCTAGGAGCGGCTGTTAGCTTTGAAGCGCAGCATGTCGTTTATGCAGGACATGGATTTTTCTCAGCAGGCAGCTCTTCTGGGCAATGAAGACACAGCTGTTGAGGAACCTGTTCCTGAAGTTGTACCCGTACAAGTAGAAACTGCCAAGAAATCGAAAAGGCCGAGTAGAGAAGTCATCAGGTAAAGAGAAGTGCCCTTGTCTATGGAGTCGGACACCTACCTTGGGAAGGCGGGTGCTTCCCGCAGAGAGTAGGTTAGGGACACAGGCCTGTGTTTGTGCTGGTATCTCCAGAGTAGCTTAGGGATAGGCTGCTTGTGCAGCCTGGTGGGAGGAACACAGCTCCTCAGAAGCTTCAATATATGTTCAGAGGGACATGATCATCTTTCCCTGTCCACCTTGAGAGTGAAGTGACCATAATGTGTGGGTAATGAATGTCACCATTATCACTGGACAGTGTCAGAAGACCATGGACCCCGCAGTCAGTTCTGTGAGGAATGGTGATTTGCTGTGTGACTCATGCTCTCCACATATAGACGCACCACCATTCTACAGCAAGCACAGTAACTTGTCCTGGAGGAGAGTCAGTGTTACACTGATGGACACAAGAGGCAAAAGGGCTGAGACAGCCCCCACTTGCATGTACACTGCTCTGTCCCAGGTGTGACACGATGAGCTCATCTGTCCCGCCTTGCAGTATGTCTACTGGTCACTGCTATTCCCACATGTATCCTGTTTGTAAATATTTGTTGGCTCGTTACTTCCAAGAAGCCTCCTTACATGCAGGACACATGCTGGGGATCTGGGCTTGCCTGTCCCAGGCTGATGGAGCAAAATTGTGTCATGTTGGGTAGGCAACACACATGACAATGTGCATTTCTCACCACGCTCCCTCAGCTCCCTGCTCCTGTAGCTGTAAACGCTGGACCAGGGGAAGGGCCTTGTAGGTTCAGGATCCCCAGGCAGGGCTTGCTCCCATGGCTCCTTGGAGGGGTCCCACCCACCTGCTTCTGGAACCTTCTACAGAGACTGTCTCCCTCGGGTGCTGCACCTAGCACCTCTCAGTTTTTTAAATCAAGAACTCCTCCACATGGAACCTGAGGCTGGCTTGTTAAAGTCTTGGGGCATCCCTTGGGCCTTGCAGTGGAGGCTGCTCTTCAGCCCACAAGCAGCCTCGTACTCCCAGCCCCAGCTCGCCACCAGCACCTCAACCCTCCACAGAATTTTTGCCACTTTTCCTAGTGGTGCCTTGAATAATGCTTGAACTAGTGAGGCTCCTGTCATGTGGTATTTCTTCTATTTTTCTTAAAGTAACTGAAATGTAACTGAGACGTGAGAAATATGGAAAATTTACTTTACTTATTGTTCTTCTTAATGGGAGGGTCTTGTTTTATGTGGTTAGAACTAAAAGGAAAGGGAGCAAAAGTGCATTTTGTGTCACTCCTACTGGTCCTTTATGTGACTTGGGGGGCGCTAGGAACTGACCACAGTGGGAAGGAGTGAAATGGTGTGCGCTCTGCCTCCTGGTGACTCGTGTGGTGTTCCTGCCTTGTAGCTGCATGTTTGAGCCAGAAGGAAATGCTTGCAGCTTGACTGACAGCACAGCAGAAGAGCATGTGCTGGCCTTGGTGGAGCACGCTGCGGATGAGGCTCGAGACAGAATCAACCGACTCCTTCCAGGTGGCAAGGTAGTGCTCCCTGGTGGGTGTGGGTGTTTTCTGCCAGGACGATGGCACAGCTGTCAGAATCAAGAGTTAACATCAGGATGTACATGTGTCTAGTCCAAGCTTCACTGCTGTCATGGGGTGCCTTTGTCACTGGAGGATCCAGCTCAGGAGCACATGCTATAGTCAGGGTCAGCTCCTTGTCCTCTGTGGCCATTGTAGCCACTGGCCCTATCTCATGGGGGTGAAGGGGTCCTCCAGGGACAGAAGCGTGGGTCAGGAGTATGTTAACCTCCATCACTCGACAGAGGCTGAGCCAACCAGGCTTCCCTGCTGTAGTTAATTCTTTTCCCTGGGTACTCATGTCTTTGTGTGCCCTGCAGTCACTCATGGGTCTGACCCAGGTATGGCTGTCCTCAGGAGGAGGTCTCAACCATCCTGTGAGCATCTCCTCTACTCTGACACAAGAAGACGTTCTAAGCCAGCATGTCCAGTAGAAATAATGCAAGTCACATTTGCTTTAAACTTCCTAGTAGTTGTGTTAACAAGGACGCAGGTGACATTATGATATATTTTACTTTACCTGATATACCCAAGATCTTATTTCAATGTGTAGTCTGAACTAGAACCTCACATTTTTTTCATACTAAGTCTGTGAAATGCAGATCGTAAAGAATTCAGAAGTGATAACTTTTTCAATATGTCGGGTTATATAAATTCTGTTAAAATTAATTTTGCCTGCTTCTTTTTGGTTATTAATGTGCCTGTTAGAAAGTTTGAGGTTCCCTGTGTGGCTTATGTTGTCGTTCTGTTGCACCTGCTGATCTGCACCTGTTGCGCTTTAGCCTTGGAATCGGCTGTTTCTCCAAGGATCCCTGGTTCCTTAGTGGAGAATGGTGTTCAGAAACCCAGACCTGGATGCTGTGTATATGTGGTTCTCAGTGGATAGAACTAGGAAAGGCTGTTACACACAGCATCTAGAAGGAACCTAGACCGACCTCTGTGTTTATATTCACCAAAAACCATGTTTTCCTACTGCACCTCTAATGCCACCCAGTATCACTGGGCCTGCTCTCCCTTTTTCCCTTTCGGTTTTGTAATTCCACAGTGAAAAACCTGGCTTTCGTTACCCTTAATACACTTATTTGATTAAGAGTAACCAATCCCACATCCCCTTATGCCCTACTCACCCTGCTTGAGCCCTGGTTCCCCTTCCGGGCTTGCTGCTCCCTCTCAGACATTCGGTCCCAGTTTGGGCTCCAGCATCTGGACAGGTGGGCACCCTTCTCCGCCTCTTCACCATGCACACTGACACAGAGGTGCCTTCTTTTACTCTCTTCATGGCCTGCAGAGGAGGAGTTGGTCTTATCTGGTGGTTGGTTTTAAGTGGAAAGTTCCCATGTGTTTTAGAGATGGAGCCTCTGGGCTAATTGTTGTCTTGTTCTGACTTGTTTCGTAGAGGCTTCTGACCTACTATAAAATGTTACTAGGTAAAGTTTTGTTTCAAAAGCTCCTTTTTAGAAGGTGTCATGAAGAGCTTTTCTAAGTTCTTTCATTGCATTTGTGTGCACTTTACTTGCAAGTGGGTCTTAAACTCCAGGGAAGGATATGAGAGGGCCCTCTGGTCTTTGTTCATGAAGAAACAAGTGACCTCTGTGGCCTTTCAGGGTTGTCCAAGCTAGGCCATGCTCCTAGGCCTTTGTTTTGTTGGAGCTTCAGTAGAAGTCTCATGTGTAGAAGCTAAGGGCACACTCCTGGGGGGAGTGTGCACTCAGGCCTGCTTCCTTGCAGATGGGCTATCTGAAGAAGAGCGGAGATGGGAGCCTGCTCTACAGCGTGGTCAACACAGCTGAGCCAGACGCCGACGGTGGGTGGCCCCTCTCAGGGCTCAGTTTTCTTTTTAGCCTTCATGCTATTCTACTGACCTCTATTCCTATTCAGTGATTTTAAAACCTTTTAACCTGATTGTAATGTCTATTTTTCCTGGAGTAAAGTGCAGATAAGAAGCACTGTTTGGTTTCTCATGCCTGCACAGCTCCCCTCACCATGACACCTATGTGGTAAATGGACTGAGGGTGGTTGTCCAGGGGGGGCGGGGGTGCTGGTCAGACCTAAATGACCGAGATCCCTAGGACAGCCAGCAGGGCTAGAGTTGCACTCCCGCAAAGCTGCAGGCTTGGGGCTGGACTTCCCGATACTGTCATGAGGGATTTACCTCACAAGTTCACTGAGAGCTCCTTTGTCAGAAACTAGTGCCCAACTCTGCCCTACCCTCAAAGCTTGAAAGAGGTAACTGTCAGCTCAAACACGGGTTTTAGAAGAAAAACCCCTGTTGATAAGTACATCAAGGAAGATCTTGAAGGAGACATAAATACTGGTTTCATCCAATCTCTGTGATCATTTTTGTGGTCTTTGAGAAGTCTTTCTGTACTTTTCCATCTTGAAAGAGATTTCAAAGGCTTGTCCTATGAAGAAAAGCAAAACTCACTGGAATTGAATATGCATACATGCACACACACAGAGAAAATGAAACACTTTTCTTGGCCTTGCTCACATAGATGCCCGGCAGCCCCCATGGACCTGACATGCCTGGTGGCATTATTGCACCCAGCTCTTGACATGCAGGTTTATTTAGTGTTCTCTGATGTGTACAGAGTATAAACTCTGATCAGTTTCTTTGCTCTTTAGCCAGAGTGAATCATACTCTTCTTCATAAGAGAATAGATGAGTTGATCAGCAGTTAGCTTAGAGAGCATGAGGTAGAGGTTCTGATTGGGGATTTGAAGAATCCTGGGCAGGTCACATGAATAGTATGTGAATGACAACTTCAATATAGAAAATGTGCAGTTGGAGAGTGTACAAAGGTGGGGGCTCCACTGTTGCTATTAGAATCATTCAGCATTTCTTAGAGGTGGTGAGTGGTTAGTTTGAAAATGTTATGTTGCTAGTGGCGTGGTCAGAGAGCTGAAGTTTTTCATTATGTTGACTTCGGAGTAATCATAAAGTGAAATTGGAGTGCAGTTAAGGTTTGAGAATGGCAGTTGGCTTTTGTAAATTTGATTTTAGATGGTCTTTATAGAGAGCCCTCAGGCCCTCTCTCCCACACATACCTACTCTGATTTAAAGAGAGTGCTTGAGGTGCTGTGTGGGGCTGGGGGTTCCCAGAACCCCCAGCTCACAGCCCTGGTCTTCTTGCAGAGGAGGAGACCCACCCAGTGGACCTGAGCTCCCTCTCCAGCAAGCTGCTTCCTGGCTTCAGCTTCACCACACTGGGCTTCAAAGACGAGAGACGGAGCAAAGGTAAGTGGGGAGGAGCGCACAGGTCAGTGAGTCACTGTAAAGGAGTGAGTCCCCAATTCCTCCTCCAAGATCTTCCTATTTTTAGAACTGTGTTTAGATTCTGATTTTGAGACTAGTAATAAAATTAAGACCATTTGAAGTGATGGGAATAAAAATGACATTGGACAAGTTCCTCCTTTGTCAACTGCTCTTTACTGATGGATGGGTCTCAGCCCTGCACTTAGTGCAGTTCCCTAGATAGGCTGCTGCCGTGATAGCTAGGACTGTTGGGGCCAGGTGGTAGTGAACTAGTGGTGGAAATTTAATTTCCTCCCACAAACTATCACATTTTATCCATTTGGACAGGGTGGTGATGCTGCCTGCATCCGAGAGAGATCTGTGAGTGACTGTCTCCAGAGAGCATGAGGGAGGGTGTGGGTGCATTGGCTGCATTTGTATTGGTGGTTGGCTATCTGGTTTGTTTTAGAGTGTCTGTTAGTATGTGTAGCTGTTTTCTTCCCAGGGGACCCTTTGATTATCACACTGGTGTGCTGCTGGCATCTAGCAGGGAGAGGCCCAGGCTGCTGCTTCATACCCTTTCGTGCCCCGGACACAGCCGTCTTGGCCCCTCACATTATTTGTGCAGAGGTGCCAGCATGTACCTCCCTCAGGACAGTGACCCTCTGATTCCCCTTACAACCCCTCAGCATGAGCTGGCCTCTGTAGACGCGGTTGCCAGTGATGTCTGGGATGCGACATGACCGGCACCAAGAAGCCCTTCTGCTTGTCGCACTCACCTCCTTACAGAATACTGAACCATTCTCTGCAGCCATTTGCCACAGAGTTAAAAACAGGGTGATGAAGTGATTCTCCTAGTTATGCCCCCAAAGTTTTTACTAGTTCAGCTGTACTCACTAGTTCAGCAAGAATTTCATAGAAGAGAAAGGATGCCACTGGGGGTGATATGTTGTGCAAGACTGGGTGAGCAACACAAGGAGAAAGCTGGAGTGCATCTTGTACTGGATGCAGTTTGAGTGTAAATCTGACGCTTCTTATGCTTTTACTTTTTCTTTCAGTCACATTTCTCTCAAGTGCCAGTACTGCACTTTCAATGCATAATAATTCTGTATTTGGAGACTTGAAATCAGACGAAACAGAGCTTCTGTATTCTGCCTACGGAGATGAGACGGGTGTGCAGTGTGCACTGAGGTAAGCTGTGCCTGGAGACATGGGCCTGTTTCTTGCTTGCTCTGTGGTGGGAGCCATTTTCCCACTGAGTAGTTCAGAACTCATTTGCGGCCAAGTGGGGGAGACATCCACTGGCAGCAGGTTCAAATAGCAGAAATTTCCAAGTTACTTTCAGTGAAGTTTGGGTAACTCAGTCACAATTTTAAGAAGGTGGTGATCCAGGCTGTAGCTCAAAAAAGCATTTGTGTGTATGTGTATAACCACCTATGTGTTTAGTAAGAGTTTGTTTCACAATTGTATTGAGATGTGGTTCTTGGTGGCTCCATTAGTCAGCTTGGGCTGTGTAACAAGCCCACCAGACAGAGCAGTAAACAGCTGACATTTATTGTCTCCTAGTTCTGGAGGCTGCAAGTCTAAGATGCAGGTGTCAGCAGAGCAGCTTTCTCCTGAGGCCTCTTTGTGTATTTTTCATTTTTTTGTGGCAAAAGAGAAGTTGGTTACTCATGAATTTTAGTAATTTTCTCTAGGGAAAGTAACTTAATTTTGCTATATCCTCTAAGAAGTGGAATCTTTCCATACTAGATCTTTGTTTTATTCTAAAAAGAAACAGAATATCTGAAAAATAAAAAAAGTCAGCAGCTAATACAGTAAATGAATACCTAGCCCAGATTTTTGTGATACAAAAGAAAAAGTAGAAGACTGAGGAGGAATTTCTTACCGGAGAGAATGGTGTCGTAAGTTGGTGACCCTCCCCTTTACCCTGCTTACTCTGGCAGCATGCTCACAGCCCTTCAGGGACACCAGTCATCTTTTGGTCAGGTAGCACTGTGTGTGGCTGGACCAGACTTGCTTTCCCTAAGTGTGTGCTCCTTAAGCACGTACAGATTGTGTGCTATACAGTGAAAAGTCACAGCGCAAGAGCAACACTTGAAGGCAGGCAGACAGGGCCTGGCCTTGGATATCAGGGCCCCTTCCTACTGGACTCCCCACACCACCTTCCCCAGACACTTTGCCCTGTGGCACTTCCAGTCCATACTGTGAGTGTTCTGGCCAGTCCCTTTTCTCAACTGTCATTTGGTGGTTTATCATAAAATGTTCCTGGTAGACACTTGGGTAGTGTCACTTCCAGACCAGCAGCCCTCCTCGCTCTGTGTGAAGGTCTTTGAAGTCTGGACAGCCCTTTTGAGCCTTTTCCATGCTAGGACCATGGGTTATCCATTTGCTGCCTTCTTTTAAACTTCTTGGTAGTTTTATTTTGGTTTTTAAAGCATTCACATGGCCCAAAAATCAAAGTGAAACTAAAAGGTGTCCATGGAGAGCCTGGCTTCTACAACTGCTCCCTCCCCTCTTAAGTAAGTAGCCATTTACACTGTGCATCTCTTCTCAATCTACTTGTATCTTAAAATCCAAAACAAATAGCTATGAATGTGCTTCTTTACAGAGTTAGTATAAGTCATCTTATGTATGTGTATACACTGTTCTTCACCTTTCTTTTTTTTAAATTAATTTTTTCTTAAGATCTTTTTAACTTTTTTGGGTCATGGTCCACTTTGAGGATCCAGTGAAGTTTGAACCTCCACATCTGGGAGGTTCGCAGCTCTCAGAAAGAACCTCTCATGGAGCAGTGGTTGAGGTGTACTGATGTGACAGGCTTCTCTGCTCAGGACTGCTGGCAATAGAGTCTGGAAGATGAGAGCACATAGTGTTTGTGTCAACATATTCTCTCCTGACCCTTTTCAGCCTGCAGGAGTTTGTGAAGGATGCTGGGAGCTACAGCAAGAGAATGGTGGACGACCTTCTGGACCAGATCACAGGTGGAGACCACTCACGGATGCTCTTCCAGCTGAGGCAGGTGGGCTGCACTGTGGCGAAATTCCTGTAAGAGCCCATCCAAACAACTGGCTTCTCAGGGAAGAATGGGCTGTTTTTAGATTATCTCTAGTAGTTCTTCCTTCACTCATTTTTCATTTTTACTTTTAACCACCAACTGTCTTTAAAAGAGGCTTTTAAAAGCCCTCTCTATTTACCACATATTCACTTTTCATAACTTTGTGTATGTCCAGATTTCTTTCATCTGCTGTCATTTTCCTTTGTCCTGAAGAATTCTTTTATAGTATGGGTTTGCTGCAGTGAATTTGATCAGCTTTTCTTTGAGAAAAGTCTTTATTTTACCTTAAATTTTTAAAAAAATATGTTTTTGTTGATTTCAGAGAGAGGGAGGGAGAGGGGGAGAGAGAGAGAGAGAAACATCAATGATGAGAGAGAGTCATTGATTGGCTACCTCCTGCACACCTCCTACTGGGGATTGAGCTCCAAACCAGAGCATGTGCCCCAACCCAGAATCAAACCTCAACTTCCTGGATCATAGGTTGATGCTCAACCACTGAGCCATGCTGGCCAGGCTTACCTTCATTTTTGAAATTTATTTTTCTTGGGTATGAACTTAATAGGTTGATGTTGTTTTCCTCTTTACTTTAAAAGATATCTGACTTGCAGTGTTCCTGTGTCTGCAGTCATTTTTATCTTTGTTTTCCATTTGTAATGTGTGTTTTTTAAGTCAAGATCAAGCCTTGACAAACAGGCCCATGAGCTAAGAATGTTTTTTTACACTTTTTTAAGATTATTAAAAAAAAGAAGACAACTATGCTACAGACCCTACATGGCCTTCAAAGCCTCAAATACAGGGGTAGGCAGAAGTAGGCTAACAGTTGTGAGTACATGAGAGATTATTCTTGTATTTATTTACTGTAGCATTTGTATTTCCATACAAACAACTATAAACCTCCTTTTGCCCCTGTATTTGCTGTCTGGCCCTTCAGAGGAAAAGTTTGCTGACTTCTGCTCTAGATGCTTTTAATTTTTAATCTTTATAACTGATTTTCAGCAACTTATTATAGTTTTCAACAAATTTAGAAGAATTTTCAGCTATTATTTCTTCAAATATTGTTTGCACCCTTCTTTCATCTTTTCCGAGACACTGACCGTTGTGTTAAGATAGCTTAACATATTCCACACATTACTAAAGCTCTCCTTTTTTTTTAAAGACTTTTTTTCCTCTTTCAGTTTGAAGAGTTTCTATTGTCATGGCTTTGAGTTTAGTAATCTTTTCTTATGCCATGCCTAAATCTGTTAATCCCAAACAGTAAACTTTTCATTTAAGATACTGTTTTCTATCTCTAGAATTCCATTTAGTTCTATTTTTTTTTTTTTTTTGCATCATCCTTTCTCACATTGTGTTTTTGTTTTCCTTTAAATCTTTGAACATGTTCATAATCTTTATTATAGCTTCTTTTAAAGTCCTTACCCACTAATCCTGTCATTTCTATCATTCTGGATCTATCTCTGTTGGCAAATTTTCCTTTGGTTTATAGGCCATGATTTGCTGCTTTGTTATCTGGTTGGATGCTGGGCTTACACTGCTGTGTGTTTAGACTGTGCTAATACAGCAGCTATTAGCCACAGGTGGCTATTGGGAAATTTAGAGGTAGCTAGTCTGGATTTAGAAATGTCCAAAGTGTGAGCTACAAACTAGAATTTTAAAGACTAGTACAAAAAAAGAAATGTAAAAACATTTTAATGATTATTTTGTTTGATTTACATGTTAGAATAAAAACATATTCTATAGATTAAGTAAACTGTTAAGACTAATCGCACTAGCGTTAAGGTTAATTTTAATATGGCTACTAGAAAATTTAAAATTAGTTGTAAGCTTACATTATATTTCTGTTGGACACGATTGGTCTGGTTTTTATTTTCTTCCTTTAAAAAATGTTTATGTTGATTTTGGCAGAGTTGGTACTTCTGAATGACCTGATCCTCTTGGGGCTTGTTTTTAAGCTTTGTTAGGATCGGTCTAGGCAACCTTTCTTTTAGGGCTATTTTGGTTTAAATACTAAGGAGTGGCCTTTTTGAGGTCTCTTCTGGTGGCCCTAGTTTCTGTGAGGTGTCTGCTTTGGCTGGGTAGAGTTCAGACATGTCTCACTCATGTGCATAGCTCTGATGCATTTCATCTGTATGTGCACAGGTTAGTGTCATCCTGGCCCAGCATCCCTCCCAGATTTCTGGAGCTTCTACTCTGAGCAGTGCGCTCCTCTCTAGACTCTGTCTTGCTAGCCTGTGATCTGTGTGGCAGCCAGGATCTGGGGGCTGTTCTTTGCACTGTGGTCTGAAAGTTTCCTCGTGGCACTGTCTCTGGACACAGCATCTGGAACGTGCATCTGCAGCATGTGTCTGTACATCGTGTGGTGGTTATAGTAGGAGGCCCTAAAATGTGCTGCCACCTCAGTTTCCTTTTTAGGTTCCAGTTTCATCACTCTCTGATAGGGAATTTGTGTTGCAGAGTTGTATCATTTCAGATGGGCCACAGCATTAAATAATACTAAAATGTACGGTAAAGGAAGCTGATACGAAGAAACAGACATTAAAATATGTGAATACTTATTTTTCTGCTTAGAAGTTTGTGAAAATCTTAACACAACAAATCTCAGAAACATTATTTTGAACAAAAGCCCCAATACAATCGTGTACAAACTGAATGGCTATTTTGGGGATATATATGCAGGAGTAGAGTATTTTTAAGGTAGTGCCCCTGCCAGATTATAGAACAGTGGCTCAGTGCAGCATTCAGGCTGTAGTCACACAGTAGTAGTCAAGCATAAGCCTTCTTCCAGGCACTGTACATGCCGAGGAGAAGGGTGCATGGCCCCATAGCTCTGCCCATCCAAGGGCAGTGACACCATCAGGTACCTTGCTCCTGTCAGGATTTGAGCTGGACTTGTGCAGCTCTTCTAGGTTAAACCATTAGGCCTGGTATTTTCCTGAGCTGCCCTGGAGATCCAGGGTCCAACATCTGACTTTTTTCTTTTGTTTTTCGCCATCCAAGGCTGCAGAAACAAGATTGGGTGTCCTCTCACCCCTTCATCTCTGTTTTGCCCCCAGTGCTTTCATGGGCACTTGGCCCCCAGGAATCGTGGCTGGTGCTGTGTGAATCAGGCCCTCCGTGGTAGAGTTAGCTTTCTCACACTTCCAGCTGCATGGAAGTATTGAGGCCCTGCTCTGATTCACAATATAGTGGGAACGTAATGAGCACAGCCCAAGAGTTGTGAATAAGACACCACATGTGTCCGTGGTGTGGAAGAATTGTCCTATATAAGATCATTTGGAAAAACTGGTTTCCTGCCTGTTTTGCTTTGCAGAGGAGAAATGTCCCGATGAAGCCCCCAGATGAAGTAAAGGTGAGTTCCTTGGACATGTAAGTAAAAACATAATTTTTAGCGCTCCAGCAGGGCGGTTGTATTCTGCCTTTGAAACAGGATGAATGAGAAGAACTTCATGAACTGTCTTATTTAGAAACTGAGTAAGTTTTTGATGACTAAGATTAAGTGGTAGTTCCCCCCCCCCCCC